TTTCAGTCATGACCCCTTTTTATTATTGAGATTTTTTTGCGACCTCCAGAACCCCATAATATTTACACAAATTTTGTGGGACCCCATAAGTATTGTGCAAATCCGAAACACATGTCAGTGAAACTGCCAATTTTTTCACTAGCTTTAGGTCATTAGCTTTAATTTCTAATTTTAAGACATAAAACAATGTGAAAATTATAATTAAGTAACAGACGAAATGACAGCATCATGAGCAAAGCAAGGAAAATGAATGTTTATATTATAAAAAGAATGCGTAGAAACGTTTTCGTTTTTTCTGTGTCTGTATTGTCTTATCTTTATCTATTTTCAGATACATTGTGTAAAAATATTTGGTAATTGTAAAATTATTATAATAATTTAAGAAAATATTAAAACTGCTAAAATTTTGGCGACCCCCTGCTGCAGGTCCCGCAATCCACAGTTTAAGAAACTCTGGTCTAAAATAACATGACCTTATATCAATAGGTGTATTTTGCACCAAAGCACATTGTTTAAAACTTAAAAAGTCTGCCTGATATAGCATTCCCATTTTACATTTCAAACATTCGGAGCTCATATTTACATTTTAGAATATTTTATTCCTAAATTTAACTAGCAACAATGCTGCTGTTTCAAATCTAATAAATAACATTTTAGCACTTTTCCATGTGAGTATTTTTCTATGTGGGCATATTTCTGTGTTGGCTTTTTTCCTGTGAGCATTTATACTTGTGAGAATTATCCTGTGAGTACTTTTCCTGTGGGCGTTTTCCCTGTGAGCATTTTCCTAGAACCGATATTTGCCATTATTGATTGAACTGATTCATTTAGTTACTTCATTTAGTTGCAAATCTCACTGGTAAATTTAGGTAAGCAGCAATAGCAGCAAAAACTCCCAAAATTGATGCCATTCTTACGAAGCGAGCAGGAAAAGGTGCAATTATTCATCAAGCAACACAATGGGGAAGTACATATTTGATGATATAGAGGTTGTTAGAAGTAAAAACTTTTTTAGAAGATGTAGATAACCCTAATGTTTCACTAACAGAAAGACTGTAGAACAATCTTGCAGAATTGGAAACTCTTCTTTCCACACTGTATATAGCCACAAAAAAGCTACAATCTGAATAATTAAAAGGAAGCGAGAATGGAAGAATGTGATGTTTGTTTTTTCTAAAATGGAGGGTTTATTGCAAAAGGAATCATTTCTTCAAAAGAAAGAAAACTAGTTGCTAGACAATGAATCTTGCTGGGTTCAATATATGTAGAACCAAAACACCAAATTTTGTTGGATGATGAACAAATTAAAAGGCAAATAAGCCCGCCTATGAATTTTCCTTAAGAATGAATTATTATCGGAACAATTGGAGTATTCAATCAGGACAGTCAACCTCAGACATTGCAACTGATCTCCATCATCCTTTTCCAGTGATGAATAGATTTGAGAAATATTTTTCTATAATACGGAAAAGCTAAGGCAAGCAAATCAAAAAAATGAAGTGCCTTTAGATACAAAAATGAAAAAAATATAAAAGGTTTTACACGGCCTTTGAAGAAATAGAGAAATATGATTGCGCTGCAAGAACCTCTTTTAGAAACTTAAAGAGCCTGAAAAACCGAAAGTTAAACAAGTAGCACTAACAATAACAACTCTTCCTCCTACTCAAGTTAATGTGGAAAGAATCTTCTCAGCTCTGAAGTTTATAAATCGGATCTATGGCCCTCCAACAAAGAAAAATCTTGCCGAAACTATACTGTTTCTTAGAAATAACTAATGTCATTTTTCCATTTCATAATAAATGGTAATTAATATAAATATTTTGCTATATCATCAATTTTTTTCCTGTAGCATCTATTACTTCTTTTATATTAAGAAAAAATAAGCTGTAATCCATGTGTATATGTTTACAATATATATATGGTAAAAAGAATATTCTTAGTGCTTCCGCTAAAAAGTTTATATATGAGGGAGTAGGAGTCAGAATCTTTAAAATTCCAGGAGTCGGACATTTTTCCTATCGACTCCACAGCCCTGGAGGTAATAGTGGCCGCCTATTAGGTGCCTCCATAATGAAGTAACCACTGTTTCTAGCCTTAGTAAAGGTGAAAGCTTAAATGGCTATGCTGTGTAGTAAAATTCGGGATTTTTCGAATTAAATAGTTTCTTTTTAGGTTGAATTAGATACTTAGATATTAAGTTTAATTTTTGTGTCTTTAGAAAGAAGCATTTATTCATGTATATTTATTTTAAGGAGACAATTCTTTTTATTTTTTTCACTTAATTCTTATGTTGGGATAGAGTCTGTGAACCAGTGCCTCAAAATTTATGTAAAAATATAAAGAGAAGTATCTAACGAACTGTAATGGATTAATTGTGAAATGTTAAGTTTGATTAAGGTGTTAATGTAAAAGAACACGGTTACCTGATATTTGTTTCCTTTCCGCCTTTCGTTCTCTTTCTTCTTTCATTCAGGGGATGTTCAAAAGATTCTAGAAGCTAGATCTTTGTTCAGGGTTTAGCTGAAGGCAGATGTGCGTGATAAGTTTTTCTGTAAACAGGTAGGTTAATGAAAAGGTCGAGAGGAGGTCAACATCTTGTGAGCCGGTTTGGGGAACTGGCAAATTTTGTAAGCAGCGTACTTGCTCAGTAATGTCTTGTTGGGTTTCGGAAAACGGTTTGGAACTTTGGAAACTTTTGAGGGCGAGTTTTGCCAATCTGGAAAACTGTGGTTGTCATACTTTTAGGGTGTGAAATTTTGAGAGTTCGGCACTTTTTTGCTTCTCTCTGCGCGTTTCTGCTGAATTGCTCTTGGAATGAGGTCCTCTGTTGCTTGCAAATTTAACTTCTGGGTGAAGACCAACTATCTTGGACACACTGCTGAGATGAGCAGACTGATATTATCCATTTACTCGGTTTTGGTACGCTCAGAAGATTCTTATGGGCATCTTCGTTGTTTGTTATCTGTTTGCCTATTACAGAACTCTAAGGAATGCGTGTTACCCTTGCTTCGTCTAAGAAAAAGGATTATTACTTAGCTCATTCACTGACCGCCACGATGGTGTATCTTTAAAGATCTCTAAGAATGTTCCTGACAATTGACGCCATAGGAGATGACAGAAGAAGAGGTGTCACTTTTTTCCTTTTCTTAATTTCTTCCTCGTTTCGACACAACAATTAGCAAGAAATTAATTAATTTCCATTCACTAGTTAGTATATTCAAAATCGTAACGGACGTTTTCACTCACATAAGAACTCCGCAACAAATGTCTCTCAAGCATTCCTAGACCCTCCCATGTCCCATAAATTACTTCTCACAAGTTTCACCACCTGAAATAATTCAAAGCCCCCACCGCCGATAAGGAATTTTGGCCACACAACCCTTCTGAGTAAGACACCGAAGAGATAACTTTGCCCACATCCCACTAGAAGGAACGTAAGTTAATTAATGCTTTTTCTGGCCTTTTATATCATGTAGATTCACTTTTTTTCTTATTATATATATATAATATTTCAATTTTTATTATTTGCTTTGTTTTTGCAAAATAGCATTATGTCTTAATTTCCTAATGTTTATTTCAATTACTTTGAGTTATATTTCATTATTCCACTTAAGATTACCAATGTTTAATTTTTATATAAATAGTTTTGAATTAACATTCATAAAAACGAGGATGTCGGGGGAAAATTACTAAGTATTTTATCAATTTTACTACATAAATTGCTTTTCACTCAAAAATTGTATTAGCAAAAATGCTTAATTCAGAATGAGTTCTTTGGTACTCTACTTTGGTTCTAAATACATTCACTTCACAGAACTATTTTGGCCTAACTTAATTTGCCAGTTTGGCATCACCATTATTACTTGAGTAAATGATGAAACACCTTCGTATTTATTAATTATTGTTCATTGAACGGGAGTTGGTTTGTTCCCCTTGAAAAGTCAACTAATTTCCGATCAATAGCAATAATTACTTGCTTTTAATTAATTTCTTTTCAAGTTTGAAATTTTGTTATTCATGATTTAATTCAAGTCCCGTAAAAATTTTTAGTAATGTACATTCAAGTTACTTTAAAACAAATTTTGGAACCCAGAGGTAGGAAAAGTTTCCAAAATTAAATTTTTGGAAACTTTTCCTACCTCTGGGTTCACTCTTTTCGATACTTCTACTAAAATTAATATTAGGAGATAATATAATCAATATTTCTTTAGTATATATACAGTAAAAAGTAATTAATCCGGACTCGTCATGACTTCGGCAATTCCGGATTATAGATCATCAGATTAAATCTAGTAAGATGGCATGCAGAAATTATAAAATTAAAAATATGAAACCGTAATTTATCAAATAAAGAACAATTATGATTTTTTAAAGGGTATCAAAATTTACAAAAAAAAAAAGCTTAATTTATTTGTTTACTTTATTAAACATTTCTTTCAATGTAAGTTGTTTAAGTTGCTTCATTTTATGTGATAATACTTTCTCTTTAATTCTATAAACATAAATTTCTTGTTCAGTTTACAAAGTCCTATAATTGCCATGTTGAGAATACCGACTAACTTGTCATTCGAAATTTTTTCGTTTTCAATAACCTCTTTGTCACTTTCTTCACTATCGGAAGCGAATTATAATGACGAGGAATCTGATTTAAATCATATCAAAGATGGAATACATCGAGATGAAATACTACATTTAGTAAGGAATTATAAGCCGAATAAAATAAAAACCTATTATGCGTATGCGTAAACACATGCGCAGAAATTTTGTAGCTTTGAGGTCCGGATTATGGGTGTCCGAATTAACGACTTTTGACTGTATATATATATACGCTGATTTTTAAATCAAAAGAAAAAATTACAGAAAAAGCTACACAAATCAAAGTTTCTTTTTTCTTCTATTTGATGTCAAAGACAGGCAGCACATAATATGCCTATTATGCCTACTTCCATGTTTTGATAAATCTACTTAAAAGAATTAAATAAAAATAAAATAGCCATTACCTGGAGGTAAGCCACCATAAATAACAGCACATTCATACCCTTTTTTTTCCAATTCAAGACTAACATTAAAGATGTCATTTTTATTGAAACAGACTATGCAATCCCCAGGCTGAATATTGCTTAAATCAGCTACAAATAAAATTAAATTTTGTTAAAATAAAATAAAAATATTTTTAAAAAACACAATGACACTTATAATAAATTTCTCTTACCTAAGGCTTTGTTCTCAATAGTTAAGGAAGTAAGCCTTTCATACCTTCTTACCTATAAAAGTAAACAAAACTTCAGCAAGAATAAGCACTAGCTTAGAAAAATAAATGGCAAAATCCAGCAAATTAACAGTACATAAAATAGCAAATTCTTATCGGATTTCACTCTTGGAGACAATATACAGAAAGATATCAACAAAAATTACAATTTTTGCACATTTAAATACATTAAATCATGATTATTAATAATCCGATTATTGAAAGTTTAATCCAAAATTGTTTAGGCATGCATATCATTGCAAACAATATTACTTAACGTGCAGTCAAATCCTGAATTAGTGAGTACCAAGGGACTGATTGAAATTATTAAATCAAAGGTGTTATGCTAAACTATGAATCTATTTGAATTTTAATGGGTTATGAATTAAAAAGTATTAACATTTTTATTTGTACTTATCATTTCATCAGGTTCTTTCATATTTTAAACATACACAATAATAAAATATTTGAAAATATAATATAGTTCTGCTTTGTTTTAAATCTTAGTTAAATCAGTACTAGTCACTAGTTTATTGATATTACTTAAAAGTATTAAAATTCAGTCTCATTTGAGTCGGACTTTAAGAAACTTTTTTTTTTTCATATGTTACAACCCTGTTTAATTCAATGGATATGACCTTCACTCAATTTTCATTTTTGAAATCAGATGATCTTAACAGTTTGATGATATATAAATTTTTGCTGTAAAATATAATTCATGATATTATGTAATATTCACATATAAATAACAATTAAAAAAAAGCTGAAAAAATCAAAATTTGAAGGAAATATTATACTTTAGAACAACTAATTAAGCTTCTGAGCCACTGTACCATTTTTAAATCCTGCTGTGAGCTACTCAAAAGAACTACCAACTTCTTTTTAAAAAATCTTATATTTGCTTATTGCTTATAAACTTACATTTCTAGTAAATTTGAAATCAGTTTTAATGAAACTGTATATAACAAAAAGAAATTGAAATTAAATTGCAAATAAGAAAGAAACTGAACATCAATTAGTAATACATAACAAATGTAATAACAGACATTTTTATCAGACTGATTAATGGAGGATTAATGGACTGATGAGAAGGATAGAACTCTTTTTTGTCATCAACAAGATTTTTAATGTTGGGAGAGTAGATAGTGGCTGTCATTCGAATATAGTTGTCCAAGTATTTATTAGTAAGTCTGTTTCTCTACTTATTGTTTAATAAATTTCAATGCTGGAAAACGAAATCTTGCACAGATATATAGAGCCGAAAATTACCTTCACTTAGAGACAAACCTGGGCCAAAATTGGGTATTTTTATTAAAGAACAAGAGGCCAAATATTTTCATAGCTTGAAGAAATTGAATTTACAGATAAATCATTTCAAAAATTAATCAGTTCCAACTCCACTGCAGCAGTGTCTTCTTGTCAGCGTCAGTTCAGTGGAAGAATCACAGTTAATACAATGTCCCCGCGAGCTATTAGTAGCTGTTTATCGATGGTTTGGCAATCACTGCTTTAGAAGTATGATTTAAGGGCTGCATATTGTTTTATGAATATTAAATTTTATAAAATGGTTAATTAACAGAGAAAATATATTATTAAATTGAAAATAATTTAACACTTGTTTGATATCTTTTGGATGAGACCACTGGAAACTAACAAAAAAGTGGGTAACATTAAATCAAAATTGAAATATATTTTGGTACTTCATTATTATTACGGCTTCAATTTTTAAACAGAAAGTTGGCGGCAAAATTATTGTCAAATTCATGTTTACTTCTTACATACACTATGTGGCTATCGTTATTTCTGTGATGGCATCAGAAGTAATTTCTGGTCCCCAGAGATTTCACTACATGAATTCCACTAGGTAAGACTCATGATAATGGTGAACCGAAACTCACTGATTTTTATTCTGCACCTTCATGAAGCATTACAGACATTCAACATTTTGTATATGAGTCTGTCACATATTTATTACCTGCATGTCATCAACAGTCACATATTTATTATCTGCATCTTTTAACAGTAAAATAATTCTTCAAACAATTTTTTTTACAACTGTTAATAACAATGGTATGTTTTGCTTCCTTAAGCAAGCACATTAATTTTAGTCATAGTATTTACTAAAGGAGCCTGTTTCTGTTAATAAAGTTATCCACATAATTTTTATGTTTAAAAATATCAACCTTTTCTCCACGTGAAACTGAAAAATCACAATGACAAAAGATACATATCACATATATGTTACATTTCCATGATAAAATTACATAAAAAAGTCACCTTCATGTGAATTTTCAAAAGTACATGAATAGTTTGTTTTTTCCAGAGATATAAATAAAACAAAAAATTGTAATTCTTAAACAATTTCTCAATAAACTAGTACATTAAACTCGTGCTCTTTAAAGATGAGTGAATGGAAAGAGCAGTTTCGCTGTTATTTTGTGTTCACTACATAGACATATGACTAGCAGCAATGTTTTATGCTGATAAAAAATAGCAGCACTACTTTTCACACCCCACATGAGTGGCACATAAAATTTCATTTGATGAAATAGGCCTTACTTTTTTTTTCAGAGATAACCTATGAAAAAAATTAAATTTCAGATGCTTTTGGATACAAATAATAAAATATTAAGCCAAGCTTCTTAAAAACTGAAAATTTTAGGAAGAGAAAGTTAAGAGAAATATGCAGCAAAGTGAGTGACAAAACAGCAGTCTGATATTATGGTAAGCCTGACAAAGAATGATAAATTTCAGAAATGATAAACATGTTGTAAATTGAGGTGGTGAGATTGATATTAAAAGATTTATTTAATATCATAATCTATTTATTTATATATCTATCATAATTTATCATTATTTGAAATTAAAAGAACTGGTACCTTAAAAGTGCATGTCAAAAAATTCAAAACATGAAAAAATTAATAGCATGATAGAAAAAATCAGAATCCATAAATCATATATCATTATTCTGGATTGGATTGATTGGAAATTTAAAAGAATTTAGATAACCAAGAATAATACATATAACTATTAAAAACTACTTATAATTTATTAAATTACGAATGTAAAGATTAATATGTAGCATGCTTAGCAAGCTTCAGTTCTGCTTTTTTTTTTTTTTTTTTACATAGTTTTTCATTAGCCTGCATATTTATTTTTTCAATCAAAACTGCTTAGATAATTTTATGACCTAAATTTAGTCGAAATTCAGTTTGATTTTTGTTTTAATGATAGAAAAAATTCTCTCACAAGCTGCGTTTGAATGTGGTATTATTAAGACAGCAAGCATTAACAACAGACAATACTTTGCATTTAATACACCCATTCATATCTTTTAATTTGGAAATTTCTTCCCATTCTATATCAACACGCAAATCTACAATTTCTTTCAAATCATCTACTTGATATATAGGAAACTCAATTTCCACTTCATAAAGATAATTTTCATCAATAATGGATGGGAAAATATTCATTAAGAAAAAAATAGACGAAAATGAAACTTCAGTTCTCAAGTTGATGTCAGAAACTTCAGCATGTTTTAGAAATGGATCACTTAGTGGAAATTTATCTATTATATATGACCATGCATTTACAAAAAAGGCTCGCACAGAACTGAAAAATTATTTCACTACACTTTCATTCAACTTGGCATTTTTTAAATACTATAATCTTGTTTATTGCGCCAATCACTAAATTTTCATTTTCTTTGTGTTTACTACCTTCTGAAATGGAATAGATGTTAGAGTAACATTTTCATTTTCTTTAGAAATTACTTACGGTTTTACAAATTTCACAAATGAATTCATTAAAAGTTCAAAAAGTTCTCTTCTCAATTTATGTATATAAGGAGCTTGTTGTTGCAAATTAATATTTATTGTTAAAAACAATGACAAAGTATTTTTCAAAAATAATAAGTACAATTTGGTGGTAGGGGATCGTAACCTTATTTTAATGTTTTGCATTTTCTTTCCTTCATTCTCACTGTTATCTGGTTGATCAACAAAAAAATTAATAATAGCATCCAACTGCTCCAAAATCCTTGTTATAGAATCTAAAAGAGACAACCATCTCGTATTGCAGTATTTCAAAATTTTACAAGATTTTGCATTCTGTCTCAAAATGTTTTGAGCAACTTTAAAGCTGTGCATCCATTTTGAATTTTTCATAAAAATATATATCTATTACCAACTTTTTGATTTCCGAGCCAATTAATTTTTCAGTATCTTTTTTTGCAGCTATATGCAAGAGGTGGTATGGACAACCTTGGATGATTATATTTGGTTGATGCATTTTGATAAATGATGCTACACCTTTAATTCCCATTATATTACTAGCACCATCTGAAGAAAATGATAAGCAATTTTTCCATTCTTAACCTTTGCTTTTAAAGTTTTTATTTATGCAATTAAAAATACATTCTCTGGTATTATCCATGCATTCTAAAATAGAAATCAATGAAGTAATTACCATTCCCTTTTCTTTGCTTTTATATGTTATAATCAAAGGGTATAGTTTGTTATCAGTACTTAGAGAAAATGACATCAGTGTGCAATACATTGCACACTGATTTTATAATATCTGCAACAGTACTTTCTGCGAGTGTTTTCACAATAGCAGCAGTTTTGGTATGTTCACAGATAAATTTTTTTGTTATGGCAGAATCTGGAAACATTCCTTTGAAAAGCTGTTTGGAATGATCCAAACTGAAATCGGTAGATTATGTTCAATTAAAAATCGAACAAAATAGCATTCAGCTTTTATAGCATCTGTTTCAACATTTTTTATGAAGAAATTCATTATTTATTTAGACTTTATAGTGTCAAGTTCTCTATGCTTTTGAGAAAAAAGCCTGATGTTTACAGTCATCTTTTCTGCCATATGCAACTGAGAAGTCTTTGCATACACTGCAATGTGCATGATTCACATAAATTTTGGATGCTTTAATGCATGGAAATTCTGAATAATATGAATTTTTAAATTTCTGCTTTGATAATTTTAGCTTCTTTGTTCGAGGCA